AAATGGGAGCGTGTTGTGTTGCTGCGTTGTTTGTAAATCTCATTAAAACGCAGGAAGGAGGGTAGATGATGGAGATCTGCGTCCTGACAGGACATGGAGGTGGAGATGGGAGCTAAATGATCCAGGTTTGCTGCTCTTAGGACGTGATCAACCAGTCACAACTGAACCTGTCAACCGGAACTGGCAGAGAACGTTTGGATTTATTCTGCATTTCCCTTTAACCTAAACCTGCTAATAAACAAATGAAACAAATATTCTCAGGCATAAACACTGGGTAAAAATCTAAATAAGTCATTTTTTCTTCAAATAAGTGCATTTGTTCTCGAACTGAGGAGGTAAGAGAGACATTTTGCAAATGGAACAAGAGAATGATTTCTTTTTGCATGGAGAGCACTGCAAACACAATCTAGAAATAAGTCCAAATTTCTTAAGTTAAATGTATTTACCCTTAATTTGAGCATGTAAATAAGATGATTTGCCAATGGAATGAGTATTTTTACTCTTAAAATAAGATAATTAGAAAATATGCACTTGAAAATAATGCAATACTTTTTTTCTCATTTTAAATTTAAATTGTCTTTTTCCATGGGCAAAGTGTCTCACCTCCTAAGTTTAAGAACTAATATACTTGTTTTGAGAAAAAAATACTTTATTTAGGTCATTATTTTTTTTTTTTTTGCATTGACGCTTATAACTCCAGACAGAAAGAGTCCAAACCAGGATTCAAACCCAGGACCTTCTTGTTGCAAGGCAGCGGCGCTAACGGCCGAGGTACAGTAGCGGCCATTCAACATGGCCCTTCCCATGTCGAATGGCCAGCCCACTTCCCTGCAACTCCCAGCAAATTCGCCTACACTGGAAAAAAATTGAAATCTAGATAAGTCTTTTTTTCTTAAAATAAGTGCATTTGTTCTCGAATTGAGGAGGTAAGAGAGACATTTTTCAAATGGAACCCGAAAATTATTTCTTTTTGCATGGAGAGCACTGCATAAACGATCTAGAAATAAGTCCAAATTTCTTAAGTTAAATGTATTTACCCTTAATTTGAGTAGGTAAATAAGATGATTTGCCAATGGAATGAGTATTATACTCTTAAAATAAGATAATTAGAAAATGTGCACTTGAAATAAGGCCATACTTTTTTTCTCATCTTAAATTTAAATTGTCTTTTTCCATTGGCAAAGTGTCTCACCTCCTAAGTTTAAGAACTTATACCCTTATTTTGAGAAAAAAATTATTTATTTAGGTCAAATTTTTTTTTTGCATTGACGCTTATTACTCCAGGCAGAAAGAGTCCAAACCAGGATTCAAACCCCGGACCTTCTTGTTGCAAGGCAGCAGTGCTAACCACCGAGGTACAGTAGCGGCCATTCAATATGGCCCTTCCCATGTCGAATGGCAGCCCACTTCCCTGCAACTCCCAGCAAATTCACCTCCAACTTCCAGCCACTTGCATATTTTTCTACTCTGACTCCTCCCTTTCACTGAATTACAGGGCCTGACCAGGAGGTGGCGCTTCTCTTTAGATCTTAATGTCCACAAATCATAACAGAAAGAATATTTGAGATGTTTTAAAATGAATTGTAGGGGACTAGACAAGGGCTCATCAAGGAAAGTGTCGAAATTTTGAATGGCTACTACTGTAACGTGGTGCTCAATCCCTTAACTGTTCATTTTTAAAAGCTATAATATGATACGTAGCAGAGAAACAGCCATTGAGGTTATTTTATATTTTACCATTGATCAATCAGATATCTAAACCATCTAGCGAAGCTAAAAAGTCCGACCTGTTTAAAGAGATCATGGAGAATCCAGGACCCAGGGAGGCCCAGACCTGTCATTTATTGACATGGATCACTGAAGCCGATTCAAAACCAGCAAAACACTGAGAAACAGAAAAAATCTTCCAACTTCTCTGAAATCTGCTGCGGGTCACCTGGATGGAGCCGAATAAAAAGGAATTATTGAGAAATTTGTCCAAAATTAGAATAAAATATGTTTGGGTTTCTTAAGATGACGCCTTCAAGCTTAAAATGATCTGTCTGCACGGTGTAGGCAGCGTCATGCTCTGGGTCTTCATTGCTTCCAACTGTAAGTGAGGAAGGTTAACTACCTCCATATACCTGCATCTCTAATCCCAGCCGGGCTGCGAACGTTGGACGCCTGATCCCAAACATCCATCTAACCCTTACAGAGCGAGACCCACATGGACCCGATCAGAACCTGATCCGGACCAGAAACCAACCGTACAGATGAGTCGGTGAAGAAAAGCCGCACCCACCTGATCAGACTAGTATTCCTTCTTCTGCTCGGCTCAGGGGAAAAAAAAGGGAGTATTAGGATCTTTGGTGATGAAGGAAAAATAAGAGAACTTTCTGACAAAAAACAAAACAATAAAATTTTAGGATTTATTTTATTTTCTTTGCAAGAAAAAACTTTAACTGCAAGAATAAACTCAGAAGTGTCCATGATGGAAGAGAAAACATTCCTGGCAAACAGGGGCGGTTCTAAGACCAGAGGTTTAGTGGTGCTGAGCCCCCAGAGAGCTGTCTGACAGAACAAGATTCATTTCATTGTTTTCTACAGATATTTTTGAAACTTGTTCAGTTTTGCTAATGACTGACTCCATCGTTCACTAATGGATCGTATCCGAGACGTGAGCCAAAAACCCGACAAGCAAAGCAAAAAGCAGCATTTTTCAGAAGATTTCAATTAATTAAAGCTTTTAAATCAACTTTTGAATCAGTTTTCATGAAATCAGTTTTCTCTCTCGTGTGTGTGTCACAGACTTGGTTCTGTTATGTTTTCTTTTCAGTATTCTGTTTTATTTTATTCCATGTTTTCTAGTTTTAGTGGTTTAATTCCTATTTTTTGTTTTCAGGTTTTTATTAGTTGCCCTCTGCTGCCCTCTTGTGTTCTCCTTTTTCCCTAGCTCCTTTCCTGTTCTGCTCTGTTCACACCTGCTCCCAATCTCCTCGTTAGTCCTCTCTTTGTTTCAGTCTCCCATAAATACACTCTCTGTTCAGATCCTCGTCTAACTTCCCCCAACTCCGTCTCTCTGAGTCTTCCTCCTTGTGATAGTTTCCCCTCCCCGACGTCTCCATGATTTCTGGTTTATTTGACTTTGTTTTTATGTTTGATTTTTTGGATCTTTGAATTCCTGCCTCAGTTTGTTTACTCTTCATGAAATCATCAAGAAACTCAGCCCTGCCTCCCTGTCTCTGCATTTGGGTCCTCACATCACAACCCAATCCTGACAGTGCCAAAAAGAATAAAACACGGAAAATTATCCACTGAATGAAATGTTTTTCTTTGCTGCTATTCTGTCTGTTTTCTTACCTGTTTTTTCCTGACCTTTCACTTTGCTCACACCTCGCTCCTCCTTCTACACCTCTCCCTCTTTACACTGGCAATCATTAAATGGATTATACATTCAAATAAGTAGAAATTGAATTAAATTATAACAATTTACTACTGATTCAGTAAATTTATATATTGATATTGAGTTTTGATTTTAAAGACAATCAAACAAAGCAGTCTCAGACTCATCAGAGCACCTCGCTGGTGAACATTTCACCAACACACCATCAATAGGTGCAGAAATCTGACTGAACTTTTCAGAAACACCTGAATGCAGCATTTTCCTCAAACCATTTTAGTTAAAGAGCTCCATCAGGCATGTTTACTTGTTTGTTTATTATTATTTCTGATGAACCAGAATATAATTGAAGGGGTTGAATAACTAAATACTGTATAAAAACTATACAGTATTTGGTTTTTATAATGTCAATTTTTTGATGTTGTTTGTTTTTATTGTAAAAAGCGCAAACAGTATTAAAAGGAACAACTCATATTTTAAGGGTGCTTTGATTCAAATTAGGGTTGCTTCAGCACCCCCCCAAAAATAGGGTAAAAACACCTATGCTGGCAAGGTAAGAAATTTGCAAAAAAAAAAAAAAAAAAAAAAAAAAACATCTTGAATTTATTGGAAAAACTCAGAAGTGTTTGAATCAGATATTAGCAAAAAAAAAACAGCCAGAAGGTTTTAGGATTAAAATGCTTCATTTAGGAGACGTGTTTCTGAATATTTCCCAAAAGTGTGGAAGCCAGATGCTTTTTTATTTATTTATTGATTTTATTTCCTAGTTTCTGACTTCACGATGTCTTTAATTGTGCAAATTTCTGCACATTTCCGACATTTTAACATGTTAAAACAACAGAATTTAATTTTGATTTCTTTCTTTCTTTCTTTATTATATGTAAATAATAATCAAAGTCCTGAGTTGTCAGGATTCTCTCACAGGAAACACTAGTGAAAGAAGAGTTCCTGCAGAAGCTGAGCTCTGATAATAATTAGAATTCAACATGGCCAAAACGCCCCAACTACTGATATTACAGTCTAATCAGCACAATCTAAAATCAGTTATGCTGAGGCCTTAGCTCCACTGTGAATCTATGCTGCTACAGTCGGATTTTACACACATTAACTCGCCCTTTCCCACCTAAAATGTACGAGCAGCTTGTGAAACCTACCAACAGATATTTGCTTTGGATGGATGGTTGCTGCTTTCCTCTGCAGATTTAACCTTTAGATGGAAGCTCAAAGTTTTTCCACTCAGCCTTTTCAATAGAAGCCAATAGAGCTCAAAGTAAAACAAGTAGCAGTCATTAAAAATGGCCCTTCCCAGACAAATGCCAGCCAACTTCCAGCCACTGCAGTGACCCCCTCTCTGAATTACAGGGTCTGACCAGGAGATGATGCTTCTCTTTAGATAATAATGTCTTAATGTTAGTACAAAGATTGATGTTTAAAAGATATTGTAGGGAACCAGCCAAAGGCCCATCAAGGAAAGTGGGAAAATTTTGAATGGATGTAGTGTCTGATGTCACTTTGGAAAATTTTCGTTAATCTGTGGATGTTGGTTGGCCTGTTTTTTAGTGTAGTCCTGTTTCTCTGACTGTTACTAATGCTACGTTCACACAAACGTAAGAAAGGACGGAGGATAGCCCAAAAGATTGTTGACAACTGTATGGTCTGCAGGAAAACTCGAGCTCTTAAGTGTCAGCAGTTGATGGGTGATTTGCCACCTGAGAGGGCTGAGCCTGCTCCTCCCTTTAAGTTCACTTCAGTCGACCTCTTCGGGCCCTATCATGTCAGAGATGACGTCAAGAAAAGGGTAACGATTAAGGTCTGGGGAGTCGTCTTTTGTTGCATGGCCAGTGGAGCTATTCACACTGAATTGGCAAGCTCGCTTTCGACTGAGAGCTTTCTGATGGCTTATCAGAGATTTACTGCAATCCGAGGTCATCCACAGAAGATCTGGTCTGATGCAGGCACCAACTTTGTTGGAGCAAAACCAGTTTTGGAGGAGCTGTATAAGTATCTGGGCACCCAAAATATATCAGGTTTGGAAGAAACTGCAGCAAAGAACGGGACTGAGTGGGTGTGGAAAATCCTCCCTGCAGACTCACCTCACAGAAATGGAGCTGCTGAAGCTGCTGTTGCCATTGTGAAAAGAGCTTTCCAGAGTCTTGGTCAAGAATTTGCACTAACATTCAGTGAATTTCACACAACTCTCTATAATGCTGCAAATCTTGCAAATGAGCGCCCAATTGATGCCAGAATACAGAGTCAAGAGGGTTATATTCAGTACATCACACCTAACAGTCTTTTGCTCGGACGGGCATCTCAGAGTGGCGATGTGAGACTGTTTGATTTTTCCAACTATTCATTTAAGCGACTTGGAGCTATGCAAAATGAGGTTACTAAGTTCTGGAAAAGTTGGAGGCAGCTGGCTGGTCCCAACCTTTTTGTGAGGAGCAAGTGGCACACTTCCCACAGGAATGTTGCTGTTGGGGACATTGTCTGGTTGTGTGACCAAAATGCCCTTAGAGGACAGTTTGTACTGGGCAAAGTTGTAAGTGCTAATCCCGACAAGAAAGGTGTTGTGAGGGATGTAAATGTCCGGGTTGTCCCAAGTTATTGCACTCCCATAACAAAACATGTCAAGCAAAAATCAGTTCATCCACCAAAGAAAGATAAAATGAGGACCACCATTCTTCACAGGGATGTTAGGAGGCTCATCGTCTTAATACCTGTAGAGGAACAAACGGAAAGTCAAGCTATAGAGGAATAAAACTCAGAGATACCAAATACGACAGTGGAAATGCGACCTTCCCATTGGTTCATGGAAAGATCGAGTGGGAGGTGTGAAGTCAAATGAGAAAAGAGGAAAAAAAAAAAAAAAGTGCACTGTTTCACACGGACCTATAAGAGGGACGGACAATGGAGGAAGGAGCAGAGGAGAAAGCCAGACAAAGAGAACAAAAGTTTGGGACTCTTATGATTAGAGATCCTGTTGGACTTGTGCAGATCTGGATGAACTTGTAGACGGGTGGAGAGGCAGCCGGTAAGAAAAGCTGTAATTTATGAGATTGGACTGCAAAGTTACCTATGTTCCTCCAGCCTGGCCTTCAGTTTGCCATTAACACCAATTAACAGCTACACCTGAACTGAAGAGGTGGATTGTGGTGCTAAAGTTGTTTGATTTTATGCTTGAACTTATTGTAATTTTGTTAAATAGTAAATTTTGGTGTTAAGTTTATCTATAAATTAACTATCAGATTAAGAAGAATAACAATATGAAACTATTTATAAAATAAAGTAGTATTTGTATATTTAAATAAATGTAATTGTAAATATTTATTTGAAATGTATTTGAAAGTTAAGGAACTTAAGTTTAGTTACTTGTTCATTTAACTTTAATGACTTTGTGGGTTTGATTCACAGCGGTTTGTTTAGTGTTGTACAGTTTATCATTTTCTTTTGTAGTTTAAGTGGAACTAATTAATGTAAGCTAACATACAAATCAGTATTTATTTTTCTTCTTTTGGGTTTGTTTAAAGGTTTTTACCTGCTTCTGGACCAATTGTAAATATATCCTGACACTCACAAAATAAATGGAGGATAAAAGGAAGAAAACTGTGTGGTCCTTTGAGTAAAACCCTGTTCAACAAAGTCTGCATCAACTTATCCATCCCTTTTCAAGTGGGGAAGCTGCATAAGATTAGAAATAACTTGACAAGTACCATCCCCTGAACACCATCCCTACTGTGAAGCATGGGGGTGGTAGCATCATGCTTTGGGGTGTTTTTCTGCATGTTGGACGGGGCGAGTATTAAGGAGAGGATAAAAATATGTATTGCCATATTTTGGGGAACAACCTCCTTCCCTCAGAGCAGCATTATAGAAGGAGGTGGCTGGGTCTTCCAGCATGACAATGAGCCAAAGCACACAGCCAGGATAACCAAGGAGCGGCTCTGGAAGAAGCAGATCTGGTGTGGCCTAGCCACTCTCCAGACCTAAACCCAATAGAAAATGGTTGCCGGCTGTAGGAAGACATTCCACAGGTAATTTCCCAGTCAGTGGATGAACTAACCAATAATCCATCTATACGCCGATGGATCCTTTAGTATCGTATGTAACGTAACAGTAGCTACGTTTACATGCGCAAAATTTCCCCGATCCGATCCAAACCTTGGTTGATCGGAAATTCAAAATCTCCGTTTACATGGATACTAAATGAAATGATCCGATCATGACGTGTGTATACATGTACCAAGCGTTGGATCAGATTAAATCTTTTAAGCATGCGCAGAACTTCCTGCCAAACTTGGCAGTTCTGTCTGCGTCTGGTTTTTGGGAGGCCTGACAAACGATGCGCTCGGAGCGAGCGGAAAGAAAAAAGGAGAGAGGAGGAAAAAAGCGCTTGGCAGCGAAATGTCCGAGAGAAAATGTAGAGAATGAGCGATTGAACCGGCGTGGGAGAGCGAGTGGGCTGTGGAGAGAGAAAAGAGGAAGAGGATAAATTCCTGCTTCCTGCAGCTTTAAATGAACTTGAGTGTATAAGTCGGCGTTCCTAGACTCCTCCCGCCATGTTGTTCACAGCGATAGCGACCGGTGGTTTCCTGTTGTTGACAAGGCGGAAAAACGTCACGCTGACGTCGCACACATGCGCAGTGAAGATTATTTTACTCTTAAGATCCGAATGGGTGTTTACATGGACGCCAATCAGAATGGCGATCGGCAAAAACCACCTCTCTCTTTCGGAATTAAATTTATTTCCGATCGGACCGAATCGGATTAGAATATTCAGTCTGACATGTTTACATGAAACATTTTTGATCTGATCAGGCCTTCAGTCTGATTATTTGTGTCCATGTAAACGTAGCTATTGAGACATTGACTGAGTTAGCCATTGACATTGTGCCTAACGTTAGAAAATAGAAAGGAGAGTACATAGAAAATATTTCACAGTGAAATGTAAATGTAGGAATTCTTAAAGGCATACTATGCAACATTTTTCAGTTAATTAATGTGTTCCATAACGTTTTGGATGATTAAATGAGTCATTTCAGGTCGAACAAAGGTTTTCTCGGCCGCCCTGGTGGTCTGTAGGGGAAATGCTGTACTTGCAATTGCAGGAGCCCTCGGCCCGCACCCACAGGCTCAGAAGTCTCATGCATTGCGAAAGTCGGTCTTGCTTTAAGGCGAGAACTGCTACACGCCCCCAGTGAAAGGCATGCTCGTTGCTAGCGCAGTGGCGATATTTGTGCAGTTATCATGGCAGAACCAGCAAGAAAAAAGCGAAAGCACATGTCGGAGCAGGCAAGAAAGAGGAAAGGGCTCTGGACAGAGAGGAGTCGTACACGGGTGAACAGCGGGCAAGCTTTTTCCGAATGGCGCCTGGCTTGACGGAGAAACCAGGAGAACAGCTGAGCATATTTACGACAGTGCACTTTTACTTTCGCCCTCTGGGGGGAGCCTCGCTGGAAAATCAACACCGGTTGCATAGTATACCTTTAAGTGGATGATGCCGTCGTTTTTGGAGTGTGTGTTGTATTTCTCATTTGAAAAAGTCATGTGCTGAAATACATTTATGTTGATGGAAAAAAAAAACAACTTAAACCTTTTTAAAGGCTAATGAACAGACACAGTATAAAAGTATATGCCATCATTCATCCATAATTTATAAATAGGAAAAAACTAGCATTGACAGACACGTTCTTGTCATTCAGTCTTGATGTTACATATACATCATCAACTTAGCACATTTGGCACATCAGTATTATTCTGCTCCATTAACACAATTTTATTGTGATGGATTTGTATAATGTCATATTTCATGATTTATAGACTTCATAATGACTATGCAATTTGATGTACCTATTTCTTTTATTATAAGTTAAAGTGATCTACCGATGCTATGAAACAGCCAGTGTGTGTCAAAGTGAGGAATTTATCTTTATTTTAATAGTTAATCCCCCTGAAAATGAGATCGTATTGTTTACATTGCGACCAGTCTAACTAGGGAGTACCAATATGGCAGCCGGTGGCTTCACTTCAGCAATCCAGTGAATAAATATGAATAAATAGAGATCGGTGAATAATTACCGTGGCGACAACCCAGAAATATGACTGATCTAGAGAAGATGTGTGTGGAGGAGTGGGCCAAAATCCCTCCTGCAGTGTGCAAACCTGGTGAAAAACTACAGGAAACATATTTGCAAACAAAGGTAACTGGACCAATATTAACATTGATTTTCTTTTTTTTTTAAGATTATGTCTCCCACAATGGACATGCACCTACGATGAGAATTCCAGACCCCGCAATCATTTCTAAGTGGGAGAACTTGCAAAATAGCAGGATGGTCAAATACTTATTTCCCTCACTGTAACATTTCATGTCAACAGAAGAAGAGAAAGCTCTATGAAGCAGCACATCACTAACCTGACTCTGCCAGATGGATTTGCTCTGCATATCCATCTGGAAACCTTCGGTTGAAGTAATTTTGGGAAGGGGCGAAAATACTGGTTAGCTGATTGGCCTATGTTGGTGATAGACGGGCCAAATAAACCAATCGGATCAATGAAGCATATGACATACTAACAGAGCGACGAGGAAGAGGAGCCAATTGATAGATCAAACTCTTGCCGAAACCAGTCGGGAGAAGAGCAAAAACATCTTTTCCTCTGAGAAAAGCCTCCAGAGCAGTGTTTTGCTCTTCTTTCAGTGAAGAAATACTCTGTAATTCCGATAAAACTTGCTCGATAGCCACGCTAACGCTAGTTTCATCGGCTGAAGCCGCCATGTTCTTTAGAGTGAACTGTGGCGCTTCTCGTTGCGTCACACCTCAACCCGCCTCAAAGCCAACGCTGATTGGACGTTCGTTTGGTGAACGGCTCCAAATTTTCTTTAACGGAGAGTCTCCAGACTGATTAGCGAGTGAAACATTGAAAGCTCGCGAGATCAGGATGGTCTCACGAGGCTAGCACATCACAGGAGTTGATTCAGCTGAAGTTAAAATTAGAGGCTGATGAAAACGATGTAATTGATGTAAATGATAATTCATTGGTTCTAACGGCTTTAAAAAGCCTTAAATGGAAGTGATGTTGGTTCCCATGATGAATGTTCACCTCTCATTTGGACTAAAAGTGTTCTGGATGAAAAGGAGCAAAACTGCTAAAACATCTCAATGAATCGAGGAATGAAACCAGTAGACAAAGTCAGCTTTATTGACAAGAACAGTTGTGTTTATACAAGGCAGGAGCTGGAAGGAAATTAAAACAATGCAACTCATACAAAACCCGTCCGTTTTGTCCGGGACCGGTTTGTCATGTGGATAATGTCTTAGGAATCCCTTTGAGGAATAAAAACAGTATTATTATTCAAATTGGAAAAAAAAACTCCATTATAGAGTTTTTTATGATTTCATATAAAGTACAAAACATGCATCCCATGTTATTTCACAAATATCAGTCTTACAACGTACAGTGATTGCACAAAATAATATTAAAATCATGATAAAGAACATGACAGGAACCGTAGAAATCCGTCACAGACGCTACACGCAAGACACACCTGGCTAGTCCTATTCCCACCACGAAACGCAACCATTAATTTATTTATACAACAAAACGGGTTCATCCTCTGACTACTGGGCTACTTTCAAATAGCCTGAGGTAAGCTTTTAGCACATGAGCCGTCGCTCAGTCAAGGCTTAGAAAGATATGAAATGACGGATAAAAAATAAATAAATCAAAGGAATTTTCTGTTTAAAATTAATTCAAAGTGCGAAGTTGTTCTGATCCCCGCTTACTGGATCACTTACCTTCAACATGGAGTAGTGCAACGAAACCTAAACAAATGTAATCAATCACAACCACAAATAAAAAAAGAAGGCAGAAACGTAAAAGGCAAAAACCGTCTGGAGGCGACCGCTCAGTGCTCCCTCTTCTGCTTCCGGCCCACGTCCACCTCGTCCAGGCCGCTGGCCGACCTGGACTGCTGCAGTTCTCTCAGCTGGGCGTGGGTGCGAGGCGGCTGCTTCTTCAGCTTCTGCAGGTGAATGTCAATGGGGTCGAGCTCGGGCTCAGAGGCGGGGACCGGCAGGTAGCCGCCGTCCCTCGGCAGGCACAGGCACCAGCCGGCGCCTGCCAGGTCCAGCTCGCTGTACTCGAACTCGGACTTCTTCAGCTTGAAGTCCACCATGTCGGCCGACTGGCTCATGTCCACCAGGAGGTTCCAGAAGACGCAGCTCAGGATGATGCCCAGCAGCTGCAGGAGGGGGAACACAATCGCTCAGCCCTGGAATCTCATCCATAGATTCAGATTTTATTTCAGAAACATTGAAGCTGTTCGTCAAAAACGCAAAACAAGGTTCTTGGCAGCTGATGTCAAACCTTCAGTCACAGTGAACCGAGGAGAAAATAACGGCACTATTATAGAGCAAAGTTCAAGTCATATTTCACATTATGAGATAATTTCCTGTATTTATCTTCATTTATTTATGTAAGATGAGCCTTTTAAATTTTCTCTTTTCTCCCTGATTCTG